TTTTTTACTTTAATCCATCCAATACGTCGGTGGTCCAATGCAAAACTCAGCAGCTGAAATAACAGAAGGCATGCATGAATCCGAGAGCGAGAGCCACGCAAAAAAAAAAAATCTAAAATTAAATTAAAAAAAATAAAAAAGATGCGAATGTACAGTTCAACCTCTGCTCTGGTCCACTTCACCTCAGCACGTAAAGACAGTCGCATTGTAACTTAAACTGAGATGGATTTGCCAGTGGATTCTTAAAGCTGCTGCGGCGAGGCAGAGATTAGCATCACAGCTAAAGGAGGGAATGTATGCGTGTGTGTAGGTGCGTATGCGAGAGAGTATGTTTTTAGAGTATGTCTGTGTGTGCACTATCTTTTCAAGGCTCTTCCTTTTCAACAGGTGGTAGCTAGGGACTGGTGTATAGGGGGCTGGAAACAGCGAACGTGTTCCACAGTGGAGCTGTCCGTCTCCACCGCCTTCATGTACTTGTTGAGGATGGCGAATATCTCATTGTTGAGGATCTGGTACTTTCTGATGCGGTCTGCCATCTTCTTCAGTGGCTGCAGAGGAAAACAATGAAGCACAAGTGGTGGTCTTGATTAATAAAGCATTTTTATATCCCTTGGAATTTTTTTTTTTTTTTTTTTTTGCTTTTTGTCACTAATAATGGGGGAAAATTGGAGGATTTTCAAAAACTACATTTCTTTTTTTTTTTTACAATCCAAGTTCAATGTTTTTGAGAATTCGCTAGGTGTTTAAATATGAAGTCAGAGGAAATGCAGAGATGAAATAAGTTTTTTAAAAGTAAAACTGCATTTCCTCAGACATGTCAAGCTATAAGTCAGGCTTCAAGAGGGTGAGAGAGAGAGCAATACTTTGATCAAGTAACAGGAAGGCTGTAAAAGTTGCTCTTTTTATGTTCCGAGCGGTTCAGGCTAGATTTGGAAATTCTGGCAGCCTTGGAAACAAAATTAAGGTAAGTATCTGTAGACACGTGGAGACTGACGGCGATGTAATGCCAGCAGCGCTAATCGCTAATGTAAGATGCTAAAGCTAATGTGAAGGAAGAAGTTAAGAACATTTGCCTAAGTGTTACTAAGATGCTGATCTGTTGCACGTCATCTCTGTTGTTATTATAAAAAAGCTGAAGGTTACCAACATTAAGACAAGAAAAAAAAAAACATTCTCACCGTTTTTCTTTTATAATACAGCATAATTTATAACACAGCTATTAAGTAGGAATCCCAGGCAGCTAAAATCACTCTTTGGTGGTTTAATGATTTGCAAACCCCAGAGATAGTTACAAGGCGGGGAATTTTATTTTCTGTTTGCAATTTTACGTGATACATCACAACTATGAGGAGAATAATAGTGAAGAGAATGGTACAGGACACATGATATAAAAAAAATTCCAACTAATAAAAATCTGAAAAGTACAGTGTGCATTTCCATGCCCCCCTCCAACGCCGTGGACGGCGCGCACTCACCACATTCTTGATGATCTCGTCTTTGCCGTCCTGCCTCTGGACTTTGAGCAGGTGGTAGCAGAAGTCGAAGAGGTCAAAGCGGCGCTGCTGTCCGAGCAGCACAATGATGGCGCAGCCCGCCCAGTTCAGCCCGTCCCCGAAGCACTGCCTGGAAGGGAAAGGCGCACGCAAAACACAAGATGAGTTTCCGCAAACTAGTGCGACCCCGAGCGGGTGCAAACCGTGTTAACAATATCTCGCCTCTGAGCCTGACAGTGGCCTATGAATAAAAATATTTCGCCGGCATTTCTGCATTGACCGGTCTGAACGGATTTTCGAAGGCCTGTTTGAACACATCCGCTCGCCTCGGGCTGATCCGCTCTCTGATGCGCATCAGTCAGTACTTTACTTTCTCTATCTGACAAAACCGACCAAAGAAAGCACATAACTGAAGGAAGGAAGGAGGAAAAATGCATCAAAAACAAAAGCGGCTCTAAAAACACTCATTCTCAGCACAGCCTGAGACCCGTCTTCCTAACCTGGCACGCCAGATGGTTTGTTATAGTAGCTCACCATCTGGGGAGTTGGAGCTCTTTGTACAAGGACAGACATTTTAATCGCAGTAGTTAAGGATGTCTGGCATCATTTAGATTACAGAGCAACATACCAGTGCTTAGACTATTAGTCCGAGTTAATGAGTGCCATGCAAAAAGCTTCTTCGGACCACCTCGGTTTTATAAAGCTAAGCAAAAAGTGTTACATTCTTAATCGTATAGCAGAAGCATGTTCTCTCAACATACAGCAGCACACTGCTTCACAGCTAACATAGTTGGGCTTAAAAGTTCCAGGTTAACTTATTATAAATTTAAGTTTTTTTTTTTTACATCTTTAAAAAAATACAAGTGTGCTTTCTTTTTTTTAGAGACAAGATGTTGTTGTAACCGTCACAGGATTTGGCGGAGCAAGAAGACAGCTTGTTAAAAAGAAATCCCACTTCTGGAGCAATGAAGATATCCAGCTAGAATCTAACTCTGAAGAATTCTATCAAGACATATCATGAAAAAAGAAAAACAAATGTTTACATGGATGTTGTAATAAAAAAAAAAGTAATATAGATTTTAAACAATTTATGTAGACACTATTATCAGAGCATTTTCTTCCAAACAGAAGGTGTTGTCTGGACCTCTGCTCCTACTTTGTGTACAAACAGCAGGCCGACTGCCATGTCAGCGTGAAAAACCATGCCCTTATTCTTTATTGCAACAACTTCTACCGTTAAAAGTTCCTTCACATTATCACAATTAGCAGCTTTCGCTCCTGACAGCTCCCACCTGGAAGCAAAACTCTTCAAAGTGCCGCGCAGCTGTCGGCCAGATGCTACTCACTCCGCTGTGAACTCGTGCGTGCCGACGGGGATGCAGTAGACGAACTGCATGGCGCTCCACAGGCGATGGAACTCCATGCACTCGTCCACGTGCATCACGCCGTTAGTGGGCGGGGGCCCGCGCCACACGGCGTCCTGCAGGAAGCTGCGAATGCGCGTCAGGATGACCTCGAACATGGAGAGGCCGCAGCAGAGGCGCTCTTTGGTCAGCAGGTCCCCCTCCCTCGCGATGGCTATTTGCTGGAGTTTAAAAAGAGAAGAACTCGTTTTTGTTTTGGGTTTTGTAGAAAAAAAAAATAGATAGATAAAACTTATTTAGTTTCAGCCCAGCCATGAAGGGATTACACTGACCTGAGGAGTTCCCAGCCTCTCGATGAGAGGCACCAGGTGGAGAGGGGCGTACTTCGCTTCCAGCCTCTTCATCCTCACCTCCAGTCGCTCTCCCTCTGCGTGTCACAGAGAACCGGACAGTTACAGAACCAGCAGAGCTCCGAGTGGGCAGCCACACACTGCAGGAGTAATCTCCCAAAATTTGGAAACCGTGAGCCATCCGAAGTTCAGTCTACCTTTGATGTAGACTCTGGGAAGAATGTTCTGGAAGGGGGCGGCATGAAGCAGGTCACACACTTCCTCCTGGGACTAAGGGTCAAGCAAAATGTCAAGGGAAACTTTTAAGCCACAAATTAAACTCACTTTGCTTTACTGACAGCCTTACCCTGCATCCAGACAGCCAACTTTTTTTTTAATGTATTTTAGTTTAACTAAGTTATTAATATATACTACATGTGGACATTTTTTTTTCAATAACTCATGTCTCTGCAGTCAGGCTATTTGATAATGTGTATGCTTTATTTTTAGAGAATTACGAGTTTGTATCTCTGTGCAGTGACCGATGTAATGCCAAAATGACTGATTATTTTCTTGAAATACTTTTTATTGAAAACATGCAGACAGAATTGCAAGTCCAAACTGCTCTTCTCTAGTTTTATCCTTGTGAAAGGCCATAAGAGACTAAGGGCGTTTTCAGAACGGCAGACTCGTTTTGATTGGGGACCAACATTGAAACATTTACTATACGTTCAAACTGGTGCAATTTGCTTTCGGCCTCCATCTCGCCTGCGGTGGCGCTACAAGAGGAACTGCTGACAAAAACGACATGAAAACCTCTAAAGACGACATGAGCGCAACTTCCCTCTTCACAAGATGGAAACAAAAATGTAGCGGCGTCATATTTTAGAGGTATTGGGATTTCTTTGCAGTCTTTAGCAAAAGACCACAACCTATGATTCCAGCTAGCGCCAGGCTCTCGCGTTTATTTTGGTTGTATTTACCCGTAAATGCCCTGTGCTATTGTCCACTTTCTGCTTATTGTTCGTTTCCGGTTTTGGCAAAAGTAGGCTCGTACACATTCGATAGCAGGGGTGCCAATATTTGTGGCACAGGTCATTTTGTAAAAAATAAATAAATAAATACTTTTTGGTGTTGTGCTCAGTGTCTTGCTCAGAGGTTTTTATGTTGTTGTTTTTTTGTTGTTGTTTTTTTTTTTGTAGTGGTTCTTGGGACAGCGCCACCACAGGCGAGAGGGTGAACAGGTTTTTCAATTGGTTCAGCTCATTTGACACAGTGCGGTGCGAAACCGAACCGCACCAGCTGAAAATTTAACACCCGTTGCAATTTTGTTCCTCGGTCAAACCGAGTCTATACTGAAAACACCCTAAAAAGCTGCAATTTTTAACCACTAAATGAATATAGAATGATTTATTGTGATACTCGATGTGAGGTTATGCGACAACACTAAAGTGAAGGTGATTGTTAGTGACGGCAATTAGACTAAATGCGACAAAGTGACATCTTGTAGTGGATGAGACGAGAGTCATGCAACGATGAGAATCAGACACCCACACAAACAAACCGACTCGCTCGGATGTGATCCAAAGCAACACACACACACACACACACAAACTGAGTCAGTGCAGTCACACAGAAATGGTGAAATCATACTGAGAAAAACATGAGTAACAAGGCATGAAAGGAGTCAAACTTAAGGTAATTCGGAAATAAAACCAAAGAATTAAAACACAAGTCTGAGTCAACAACCAGCCAGAAGAATGGAGTCACCTCCTCCATGGAAGACAAAGACATTGAGATTTTAAGTTTTGTGATTATAAGCCCGTTTGCAAGGACAAACAAGGTCGTGATGCATGCCCTAAACATTTTCACTTTGTCGTAGATTATGAAAATCTCAGTCCTTTTTTTTTTCCATGGCTGATTGGAGATGGAAGTTGTATATGTGCAATAAAATGAATCAAATTAATTCATTAATATGTTAAAAAATAATAAGTGATTAAAAAAAATAAATAAACAAAAATGGTCTCTATGTTATTTTAATATCAACAAAATCTAAATCCTTACCACCTGCAGTAGTTGCCAGCGTGTAATGAAAAATAGAGTTGTGTTTAAGACAAAAAAAAAAAAAACATCATCAAAGATCAAACACTAAACACACCCACAAGCCTGACAGTTTTCGATCGCATCGTTTGATTTACACGGAGACAGTCGAGGCTATAAACGCGAGCAGAACCCTCCAGGCGCCCGGCGCAGGTAATCACAAGAAGGGTCGGGGAGAGAAGGCGAGGAAGACTTTACAGCAGATTAGCTAGAGGGAGACGGCGGCGGAAAGGCCTCACCAGAGCTTGCTCGATGAGCAGGCAGAAGAGGATGGCGTTCCCGACCTCCCTCAAGCTCTGGAAGACGTCCGTCTTCAGCTCGGCGTATTCAATGATGTCCTTGAGCTGGTGGTGGAAGAACTCCAGGATGCCTTGAAATGGCAGGAGAGAGAAAATAAATTCACGAAACCTTTAGGAAATCAGAATTAACAGAAGTATTACATTTCTTTTTTGTTTTTTGCCTTACTGTCACACCAACATTTTTTTTAGATAAGTTTATCAAATATGTTAATATCAGACAGAAAACTGCAAAATCAAAAAAAAAACAATCTCTATACTTATTAGAAACGAGCGAAAAAGAAATTACCTCAAAAACCCCCATCCCCGGTCGTGCCACACTCGGCGGTAACAACTGACATGAAGGATTTGCGACACCTTAGAAAAGAGTCTTTCACATCGTTGTGAAGGATTTCTAGTCAGCTCTTTAAATTGTCTCTGATTCCATCCCACATATGGCCAGTTTGTTCATTTCTTTTTCCTAATGTCAAAGCATGAACTCTGATCTGAACAGAGACATTGTTCTGGGTTCCTTCGGGACATCCTGGATGAGTTACCAGACTGAGACGGCTCTTCACTCATCTATGCTTTTGTCCAACTTGTGGCACTTTTGGTGTGTTGTATACCCAAAGCCTTACAAATCGCTTCAAAACTTCTTCCAAAATTGTATACACTTCAATTACTTTGTTATTCATCTCTTGCTGAATTTTTATTTTTTATGTATCAAGTTGTAGCGAATTGATTTTCTTTTCAAGTCTTTTAACCTACTTCATGTTATAGGCTGGCTCTATTTAACAGACGTGTTGATCCTGCAGATCCGAATCAAAACCTATGACTAATTAAAGATCATTTCAGGTTTTGTTTGAAAACTTTTTTTTTCTCTCTTAACTGAAATCACCACTGAAAAACTGCATTTTGAATTTGGTCCATTTATCTTTGTCTCCGTTATTTATTTTCATCTGAAATATTGAAGTGGGACTAAAAGAGAAAAATAGAAGAAATATCTAAGGGGCAAAATATGTTTTTGGGATTTTTTTTGCAGCACCATATATTACTCGACACTGTAAGGTTTCTAATCATGATGTGTGTAATGTAACCTCACCAGCCGGCTGTTAATCAGGTATTTCTGGGTTAAATCGGGGTGATGTCAACCGGTTCGTATGGCTGTTCTGACCCACATTTAGAGAGGTAAGTTCAAGTTCAGAAGCTCAAGGTAAGGAACATCAGTAATCTACAGATTACTAAATCCTTGTACGGATAATCCCATCTGACTGACATCTGCACTATAAGTCTGGATAAAGACATGGAAGCAGGTCAGGAATAATACTGAGAGGTAACACCAGGAGATGTTGAGTAACACATTCTTAGTGAGCATATGGTTTTGTGCTGAACAAATAAGACTAAATTCATTTTTACTCCAATGGATGTTATGTTTTGTCAAAGTTGCGACCAAGTCTCACGAGAGTATCACCTGAACAGCAAATTCTGTCATACTTTGGGGCCAAATCCTTATATTTAGATTAGATCACAATCAACCTTTTCTGTCTGTAAAAGCAGGTTTCAAAGTGAATTCACCTGACACTTTGAACTTTAGAGGCAGGCCTTGGGTCTTTACAAAATCAGAGTAGCACAGAGACATTGTTCTGGGTTTTGTCGGGACATCCTGGATGATGTCCGCATGTGTGGTGATGACGTATCATAATGCAGTCACTGGGAGGGGCAGCTAGCTCTCGAGACGTCAGCAGCCAAACCGTCAAGGTAGCTGTGGATGTTGGTTACGCAAAAGTAGGTGGCCGAGACAATGAGACACCATGAGTGAACAAGAGAGCGTCTGACGGCAGCAGGAGTGTTTTACCTATCATCATCTGCTATATGTGTAGCGTTAGCTGCAGTGGCGTTTAACAGCTAAACAAGTTGGAGTGAGACGACAATACAGCCTTATAGGGTTCAAGTAGCATGTGTCTTTGGAATAAACGTTTGATAACTACGCTATTACAATTATACAATTTAACTATCAACAGTAAACCACCTTATTATATATGTAGAAAATTAAGACTTTCAGCTGCTTCCATTCACTGGCCGCACGTTTCACAAGAAAGCCATGCATTCGATTTATAAAGCTTTAAAGGGTCCCGTTTTCATTGCTTATTTGAAGTTTGTTTACCTCTGACACTTGGGAATACTTGCGGGTGTGCAAAGTTGTAGTTATGTAACAAATTATTCAATTTTGCTGTGGAAAGAACAAAAAGGATAACACTTTTTTTCTTTTTTTTAAATTTTTGTAATTGTCCGCCGCAAACAGTCTGTTTAAGAAAGTTTTCATAAAACTGAAGTTGTGTCTGTGACTACACAGAGTCCCACTCCCTGTTGACAAGCAAGCGCACACGCCTCCCCCTGATGGGGTGGTGCCCTGGACGGCGAGCCACATCGCCCTCATCAAAAACCGCCCCACTGGCTGCAGCTAATTCAGCTCACCTGGGGAGCCGTACTCATGGCGTGGCAGACGGCAGATCTTGGGCATGACTTCTATCAAAGTTTTTACATATTGCAGGATGGTGCCCTGTAACTGCAAAGTGACAAGAGGAGATTTATAGACGACGTCAGGCAAACAAATGGAGAGAGTGCACAGAAAGAAGAGAGAGTAAGAAGTTTTAGAACCCAGAACATTGAGGGGGAAGAGGTGTGTTTGTAAGTGTGGAGAAAAAAAAACCCAATTAAGATAAAATACCAGGCTTTTGACAATCTTGAGTAGCTCCTCCATCACCACAGCGATGCCTTGGTAACCAAGGAGGCGGCAGATGGTCTTAAAATGAGGCGGGCCGACAAAGTTTCTATAGGAGCTGTATATGTGGGAGTAGGCAATGTTCAGAGGCTGAGGAAAAAAGCAAAGAAAGAGAGAGACAAAAGACAATGTAAGTCTCAGCTAGTTTCTTCTAAACGCAGCCAAAACAAAACGGAACGTCAACTTACCTTGGACCCATACAGGTAATAAGGCTGCACATTGGCTGGCTTGTCTCTTTGAGGCTCCTGGGTGAAGGGAATAGCTGTGCGTACAAAGCTGAGAGGAGAGGGGGAAAAAAAGTTAAACACCGAGAGGTGGAAGCCAATAAGAAATCTGAAGAGATCTATGAGTAAACCGACCGGTTCGTGGATCCGTTGTAGCAGTAGTTCGGGAGGAAATCAAAGTTGAGCTCCCAGAAGACGTGGAGCGTGATTCGTCCGTAGGGGGCCGAAACGTTGTGGTTGGCCTCGCGGAACATGGCGTCGAAGCTGTCCAGGGTCATGTGCTTGGACAGCAACCGGTGGGTCAGCCTGTTGATCTCCAGCAGCCACTCCAACTCCTGGCCAGGTGTTACGGGAGCGGCGTGAGAAGGCATGATGCAAGAGGAGCAACGAGCAAACTTCTCTCAGCGTTCTTACCACTATGGATGTGAGGTCCTCACTCTCAAAGCGGCTGATGGCATGGTCTAGCGACTTGTACATGGCGGCTGAGATCCTCTGGGTGATCAGGCGGTTCAGATCAATCGATCGACCCAAAAGCTGAAAGATGCACAGTCAAACCGGTAAATCGGGTCCACCGACGTGAGAGCAACGCGTCTTTGGTTTTCCGCGTACCTGCACGTGTCTCTGCTTGAGCAGTGTCTCGTAGCGGTTCGACGGCGGGTACGGAATGATGACGCCGTAGTTTTTACACTCTGCCCTGAAGCGCTTGTCTAGGAGGACACTGTGGAGAAGACCTAAATGTATTTAGGGGAAGCCTACAAAGATTGTCGGATCTTTAGGAAGTGCTGTTGATAATACCTTCCGGCCATTGCTTTGTAGTAGGCAAATATCTGGTCTGCCAACTTGTACACAAACTGATCAAAGCAGAGGTTTACCTAAGAAGAGGCAACAGTCAGTGAACTTTTGGAGTCTTGACCGACTTGTCTGGATTTGGATCTTTTTGCCGCTGTCCCTTACCTCAGCTTCGATTTCGTCGTACAGGAACTGCTTCTTGAACTTGGTCAGAGCGTAGTAGCCACTGTCGTTGTACAAGTCCAGAGGATACAGAACGTATCTAGAAGAGGAAGGAGTTGAAGTTGTTATTACCGGCTCACTTCCAAAGGACAGGCTGAGGCTGAGTGCAACAGTGAGCTCGTCTTACTCCATCATGGAGGGCTCCTTGGTCTCCAGGATGTGGTCGGTCAGGATCCAGGGCATGGACATCTCGATGGGGAACTGGATTCTGCGGCCCATGGTGAGCTCCAGGAAGAACTCCCTGAACCACAGCTGGGAGAGGTCGCAGCACTGCTGCAGGGCCTCTGACGACAGAACGGAGAGGGGTTACTAAATGTTGGCTGAAAAACAAACTTTTGGCGGGAACTTTGTCAAATATATGACCTGAAATAATGTCTATACTGTGCTTTAACTCACCGCTGAAGTTCAGCAGGTGTGTGAAGAAGAAGGAATGCTTGTGGAAGTCCTCTATGGCCACCACGATGGGTCCGTCAAGGCTGCTGCGAAGAGTTTTCTTAGATCCACTCTTGTCAGCTATTAATGACTCCAGCATGGTGCGTACCATGTAGAGCTGCAAAAAAAAAAAAAATAAATAAATAAATAAACTATGTTTTTTTTCCCCTCTTGATTTAGAGAAAAAGCTCGTTTTGTCTTCTGCCATGCAGTTCTTTGAGGAATTTCCAAATTGGGCCAAGAATAATCTAGCAAGTGACATCCTACATCCTACTGATCTTTTGAGAATACTTTGTCTCATCGCAGGGTAGAGCCAGCAGATAAAGACGTTCCAAATAAATTAATAGGGACGAATCTTCTTTACCTGTGTACTGGAGGGTCCCACTGCTCGACGAGGCACCTTGATGTCAAAACCTCCCTTTGGGTCTTTCTCTCCCCTCAGGCAGGGGTCGTTTGGAGGCTCTCTTCCTCCCTCCCAGTCACAGACAGTCTTTCGAATGGCCTGCAGGACACTACGGAGAAGAGGAAAAAAAAATTTAAAAAAGGAATTGGTGCAGGTAGGACGGTTTCTTTGCTGAATTATTGTTCGGCGACATTAGAAGAGGTATTGATGTTGTCGTTTTTCAGGAACCTGATGAGAACATTCTTCTTCTTGCGTACGGCCTGGCGCAGAGGCTCCCTGAGGGTGACCTGAGCGAAGTCCTGCAGAGCCGCGTAGATTGTGTTCCTGATGGCCTGGTTGAAGACGGACTCCATGCGACCCATCAGAACCTGCACGGTACAAGACACAGAGTAATGCTTTGTTTTTAATTAAGAATTAAACTGAAATATGCAGAATACCAGCTGTTTGTGTGTGAAATTAGCTTGTATGTGAAAGCTGGTTTTACGAAAGATCAACTCAGAGAGGACAAACAAAAATGTTTTTTTAGTAATATTTTTGTTTGTATGCCTTGAAAGACAGCGCATCGCAAAAAAGCTCCCAGTAAAACGGGTTGCTTTGTGGTTGCAACTCAACAAATTGTAAAAACATTCAATGGGGATGAATGGTTTCGCAAGACGCTTTTTATAGCAGGGATCTGGTTTAAAAAGGGCCAGATCCCTTTATATGTTTTTTCCTTACGTATAAAGAAAAACTGAAAACTTTCTCAAAAAGATGATGGCTACATTTTTCTTGTGTTGTTGATAGTTGCATAGTTTCCAGCAAGAAAAATAGGTCTAAAGAAAAATGACTGGGGCTTATAGTGTTGGTCTGTTATAGAAATTAAATGCATTTATTCCACGGGGGGGGAAAATAGCAAAAACATGCATGTGTTATTAGATCTATTTTTAAATCTTTTCTTCATCATTTTTAGTTTTTCAGTTCTGAGCTGCAGAAGGTCCAAAGAGCCAGTTGTGTCTCCTGAACTGCAGGTTGCAGACCCCTGACTGGCTTACAGATATGATTTCCAAACATTTACCTGCAGCCCTTTGATCATGGCGATAACCTCGACCAGGGCAAACTTCTCCTCGCTGGTGTAGTTGTAGCGCGTGGCTCGCTCGTACTCCTCCGCCGTGCCGGGACAGTCCTTGTTGCAGAACTTGTCCGTGGGATGCACCAGCTTCCAGGAGTACTGCGGGAGACAAAACCGTGTTTTTGTCAAAGCTGGAAAGATCAATGGTAAAAAAAAAAAACAAAACACCAAAACGAAGCTAACATCTCAAAATCCACACATATCGACATTTGGGTAAATAAAAAAAAAAAAAAAAAAAAAAGTGATTCTCGCAGCGGAACACGCCATCGATCCTCTCCCCCCCACCCACCACCCTCCTGGTTCTTCACTCACGACTTCCATGACGTGCGTGCTCCACTTGGACAGCAGCTGCAGGCCCCTCAGAGCCAGGTCGAACAGCTCCCTGTACTCCTCGTCCGACTTCTGGCTGTCCAGGCCCGAGCCCGTCACCACCTCGCTGTTGCTGTAGCGTGCCAGCTCCGAGATGAAGCGGATGTGGTCGTCCCTGATCTGCACCATCTGCTCGCACAGGTTGTACTGCGGCGAGATGCTGCTCTGGGTGCACGTCCACCTGGGCACGGGGCGCGCAAGTGTGTGTGTGTGTGTGTGTGTGTGTGTGTAGGGGGTGGGGAGGGGGAGGTTCAGGAAAAGCGAGAGCAGATGGGATTTTTGAACGAGGCCGATGGGAAGCTGCAACTTTTGTCTCGTTTGGTCGGCGGTGCGGTCTTACCTGGACTTGTTTTCTTCGTAGTGAGCGCTCGTCTCTATGTAGCGTGACAACTCGATCTGCATGTCTCCAAACAGAGGCACGACTTGAAGCTGAGTAAAACACATCAAGTGAACATCTTACCCTCTGCCACACAGACATTTGGACACGTTTCTGCATCTCAGACGAGCTAAACAAAAGAAAAAAAAAAAAGAAAAAAAAAAAAAAAAAAAAAAAAAAAAAAAAAAAAAAACACCAAGCATTCTTACTTTGAAGAACTTGTCGATCTTGCTCAGGTTGATCCTCTTTTTGGCATCTAATTTGTAGATATTACTGACGTTCCCGTCCATCAGGTAGAGGCCAAAACCCATGACCTGGCAAACATTAGGAAGAGATGTTTTGAAAATGCAAAAAAAATAAATAAATTCTCAGAAGGCTTGAGATTAGACGGTTTCATTATGTTTGTTACAGGTTCGAAACAGGGCTGAAACAATTAATTGGATCAATCGATTATTGAAATAATCGTCAATAAGTCTGTAGACTGAAAAACAGGCTGCAATTAAGAGCAGTAATTAAGTCAAAACTGCACAAGACGCATATATCTTGCATTTAGAATAAAAAGAAATCCTCAGGTGGCAGTTTTAGCTCCAACCTATTCAAATCCAGTAAAACAAAGAAAAAAATATCCTATTAAGCATCTTTTGATATCCAATTATTTAAAAAAAATGGCAATATTCAAAAAAAAAAAAATCAGATTAGCCGTATGCTTGTTAAGTCAAGCAGAAAGGGCTGAGCTGGAAAATGTGGAAAACGTGCAAAATGTGCCGCGTTTTCTTTTCATCCGATTAATCGTCAGAACAGTTGAAAGAATAATCGATGATAATAATCAATGAACTACAATAACGGTGAGTTGCAGCCCCAGTTGGAAGCAGATGAAGAAGTACCTTTAGCAGCATGTGTTTCTCACTGGGCGTCAAATACATTTTGTTTTCGTAATAGTCCACGCAGATGTTGACGATGTCGGCCAGAAGCTCCTCGTAACCTGGAATCACCTCCAGCTGTTGGTGCAGGCACTATGGGGGGGAAAAAATAAATAAAAAAAATTTTAAAAAAAAACAGCAGAAAAGGCTTCAGATGCTAAAACACCGGCTAATTCCCAGAACAGGTATTTATTTTTCTTATGCAGAAGAATTTTATTGAACTCAAAGGGGAACGAGAAAAATGCACAAAAAGTTGATGCGTTTCTCATTTCGGGGAGCCTTTAAACGACCTCTGTGACATCACTGCATCGTTTTGCAAGTCCTGCTGTTTTAGAGGTCAGTCCACAGTCAAATATGTCCATAATGGCACCAGTGGACAGAATGAAAAGCAACTCATAAATATGAACGTCTTAGCGAATTATATCATTTTTTTGTTTCAGGCGAAGTTGAGATCTAAAATACATTTTGCGTTTCCTTACAGAAGGTGGCTGTTTTTAAACTTTTAGATATCCATCTGTCCTTCCCTCACCTAGTCAAAGATTTCCCCTTTCCCAGAGTGGCAACACAACCCTAAGCCTTCTTTTGCCGTTTTGACATTCATCAAACCCCGAACGTTTTTAGGGACCCGTGTTTGTTCACGTGTCGATACCTGGGGGCCCCATGTACCACTTTGTCATGGCTTCTCGAATGATTTTGAAGTTTCTGAATCTGCATTTCCAGCAAACTATAAATGACCTGCCCTTGTCCTACTTGCATTCAACCTCGTTCATCCCATCATTGACCTCAAAGATGAGCTGACGAGGTCATTGATGTTCTATAGCACTTCACCAAAATTTCTACGCATGCCTCCAAGTTTTATTCGATGCTTAAGTTTATTGAATTCAGATATTATTATTCCAAATCCCAAATATTGTTCAACAGACACTATTTATTTCCACTCTTGTACGGCTGAGCGTGGCTGGAGGGAAAGTAAAAACTAATTTAACATAGATTTATTTTTCCTGGCCTGAACTTTTCGAATTAAATAATAAACTTCAGGAGCGAGGACCTGAAGGTTCGCCAGACCTTTTTTCTGCTTCCTTCTAGTTTTGAGGCAGAGGATAACTTGGTTTGCGGAGCGCTGTTTAATTTTCAGACCTGTTACCGTGCAGAGCACAAATATGAGGTCCTCCTTTATCTGCTTTCTATCGCCAGTGGGTTTCGACATTATTAAGTTTAAGTTTCAGCAGGTCAGACAGACGGTTTATTATTATGACAGATTTAAATAAAGATAGTTTCTCCCCCCCCCCCCCCCTTCGGGGGACCCGGTGGGCCCAAAAATTTTGCAAAAAAAAAAAAAA